CAGCCCAAGCAGGGCTGTTCAGAGCAGGCACAGGCAGTCCCACACAGGCTGCAAGTGCAGGGTGCTAGCCACAGGGTGAGGGAGGGGGCCACTTTTCCCCACACAGCACCAGGTTGTAACCCACCCCAGCTGCCAGCCTGGGATCCGTGCCGGCTCTGGGCTCGCCTGTCGGGGCTGCGCCGTGGTGGCATCAGCTGCGCCCACCTGGCTTGCTGCATCAGGCAGTGTTTGCTGCTGTTGCCCATCGCACGAGCTCCAGGCAGGAAGTGGCAGCAAACGCTGCCCAGTGTGGCAAGCAGGGGGGGCTGCAGCTGCTGCCGCCGTGGCACAGCCCTGATGGGCAAACCCAGAGCTGGCGTGGGGCCCAGGCTGGCAGCAAAGCTGGGTTACAAGCTAGTGCTGAGTGCAGGGAAAAGGGGCCCCTACCCCACCCCAAGGCCCCGGCCCCGTGCCGCCACTTGCAGCCTCATGGGGTTGCCTGTGCCTGCTCAGGACAGCCCTGCATGGACTGTGAGCGGCTGCAGCAGAGAGCACAGGCCACGGGGCAGGTGAGGGGCTGCTTTTCCCCATGCTCTGCATCAACTCCTTTCCTGCTGGGAAGCAGGGGGTCAGGGCTGAGTGCTGCCCCCTGCCTGTACTGCGGGGCTGGGGGGTGCTGGGAGTGAGTGGGTATGGGAGCAGGGCCCAAACCCATGTCCCACGGCCAGTGCCAGCAGGGCCCAGAGCAGGGCAGCAGGGGTACAGGGTCCCAGCTGGCAGGGGCTCTATGGAGCCAGGCCAGCTCCCCCCTCTCCCTGCTGGTGCAGCCCAGCCTGGCTCCACAGACTGCTGCCCGCCTGCACTCTGCTCTGGGCCTCACCAGTGCTGGCCCTAGGACAATGGTCCCAAGATGGTGACCAGGGGGCAGGACACCTGTCAAGAGGCAGGGCTACCCATGCGGCCCTCAACAGCTTGCCACAACTTGGTAAGTGGCCCTCTGCCCGAAATAATTGCCCGCCCCTGGATTAGAGGAAGGACTTAAAAAAAGACAATGAAGATGCTGTGAGAGATGCATCTAAAGCCCTCCAGACGAGGGTGATAGAAGTGAAGCAACTCCCCGATCTCGGAGATGGAACCAGATGACAACTTATTTATATGGGAGATAGGACAGGAAAGCACCTTCATTAGCATTCAGGATGTAGAACAGAGATTCCAAGGCAAGGACCACACTGAATTCTGGGACCAGAGAATCAGGTGAGCACTGCATGATGGGGGATCCCTGCTCCAAATGCTAGTCAACCCATGTGTGCACACTCCCAGCTCAGCATTTATCAGACCAATTCCAGTAACAACTCCTTTATCGGTACCCAAAACACTGAATCTGCCTGTCTGTATTGTGAGCTCCCTCACAGTAATGCCACCCATAGCCAGGAGTGATCCTATTATCCAGCATATGAGCCATCATTTATCCAAAAACAAACCTAGTGTTCCTCGAGCCATTGTTAGTTATTTACAAAAAACCCCACCCAAATCAAGTTCCTGTCCTGGTGCTTGGATCCAAAAGCTGCACCAGTCCTACTCCTTTTCTGTCTGAAATCCCTCTACTGATCATGCTGAGGGCTCTGCCTGTCTACAAGCTCCAACAAACACCTGAGAACCTCGACTGGTGCAAGCTTTGCTGAATGGTGAGACCCCAGCTCTTTCTCTCTGACTCCAGGAACCTGACTTTTATTCTCTTACTCCAGGCACAGCTTTCTAAACTGGACTTCTGCTGATCAAACTTGAGCTAGACTTCCCCAAATACCTAATTGAAATGATGTAATATTGTAACTATTTTATTTGTCTCTCTTGTGTGGCTATTACTATTGGTATCATCATAAATTCATATACCTGGCAATAAATAACTTTTATTGTCAAGCTGGTTGCTATACTCTCTCTGAATCTCACTTACTCTTCCTTCCCCTCGGCCTCCTCATTTGCTCTGCAGCAACAATTCTTTTACCTAAGCCAAAGATCTCTGTAATGGCCCAAACTACAGTGGGGTCCTCTCATCAAGGGAGTTACTACTAGGACCATTGTGACAAGAGATTAGGACGTGCTGAGTTTTGAGGTGCATGAGGGTATCAACTGAAAGTGCTGATTGGACCCAGCCTGCTCAGACATACTCTGTTAGCATGTGTGTCCAGCTGCATTTATTAT